AAGTGTTAGTACTGATAGGTATGTGGTGATTCCTGCCATTTAGTTATCTTAGTTGTTTGAAGGTTTGATTGTGTGTACCTAACTTGATGTTACTCTCTACTGTCTTGCTTTTTCTTATCCTGTGGTTTGGTGCTGCCTGCCTTTTCATGGTTAAGTTGGGTGTCACTTTCTGTGTGCAGGATCCCTTGCAGAATCTTTTGTAATGGTGGCTTTGTGGTCACATATTGTTTTAGTTTCTGCTTATCATGGAAGACTTTTATTGCTCCATCTATTTTGAATGATAGCTTTGCTGGGTAGAGTATCCTGGGGTTGAAGTTATTTTCATTCAGTGCCCGGAAGATCTCACCCCACGCTCTTCTTGCTTTTAATGTTTCTGTTGAGAAGTCTGCTGTGATTTTGATGGGTTTACCTTTGTATGTTACTTGTTTTTTCTCTCTTACAGCCTTCAATATTCTTTCCTTAGTTTCTGAACTTGTTGTTTTAATGATGATATGTCGTGGAGTAGTTCTATTTTGATCTGGTCTGTTTGGTGTCCTGGAGGCCTCTTGCATTTGTATGGGAATATCTTTCTCTAGATTTGGGAAATTTTCCGTTATTATTTTGTTGAATATATTACGCATTCCCTTCGCTTGCACCTCTTCTCCTTCTTCGATGCCCATGATTCTCAAGTTTGGTCTTTTGATGGAGTCAGTGAGTTCTTGCATTTTCTTTTCACAGGTCTTGAGTTGTTTAATTAATAGTTCTTCAGTTTTTCCTTTAATTACCATTTCATCTTCAAGTTCTGAGATTCTGTCTTCTGTTTGTTCTATTCTGCTGGATTGGCCTTCCGTTTTGTTTTGCAGTTCTGTTTTTCGTTTTTTTCTGAGGTTTTCCATATCCTGGCTGTTTCTTCTTTATTGTTGTCTATTTTTGTCCTGAGTTCATTTATCCATTTATTCATTGTGTTCTCTCTTTCACTTTGGTGTTTATACAGTGCTTCTATGGTTTCCTTTATTTCTTCTTTTGCTTTTTCAAATTCTCTATTTTTATTGTCTTGGAATTTCTTGAGTGTCTCCTGTACATTTTGGTTGACCCTATCCAGTATCATCTCTATAAAATTCTCATTGAGTACTGTAGTATGTCTTCTTTTAAATTATTCTTGTGGGCTTCATTGGGTCCTTTGGCATAGTTTATCTTCATTTTGTTGGAGTCTGGATCTGAGTTTCTGTTCTCTTCATTCCCCTCTGGTTCCTGTACTAATTTTTTGCTGTGGGGAAACTGGTTTCCTTGTTTTTTCTGTCTTCCTGTCATTGTCCTTGGTGTTGTTACTGTCCCTGTACTGTGTGTAATTAAGTATTTTCTAGCTTGTAATAATAACAATGGTAATATTGAGAATGGAAGAGTGAGCTGAGATGGAAAGCAAGAAGTTAAAGAAAAGGGGAAAACAAATATACAGACAAGAGGGAGAAAGCAGAACAAGGTATCAGACAAGAGAGTTTCAAAGGTATAACAGGGAGTGTTAGTGTACTAATCGACAGTAAGCTGAACAGAATAGAGGAGAGAGAGGATTGAAAATCAAAGATAAAAAAATAAAAAATAAGTATATGAAAGTAATATCTATTTATAAAAATGAATTAAAATAAAATGGAAAATAGAATTAAAAAAAAAAAAAACAAAAAACAAAAAACTTCCAAGTTTATATGCAATGCAATTTCAGTCTTAATAATTTGGGATGTCCGTCTCAATCTCCAGTCCTGGAGTTGGTGCCTCAGATGTTGTTCTGTAGTTGTCTCATCAAAGGGGATGCATAAAGTAGAACAAAACTACACTCACACACACACAGAAGAAAAAAAAAAAGCCCCACCAAGTGTCCCCAGTTCAAATGCAATACAGTTTCAGTAAGTTTTTCGGCTTGCAGGTGTAATTCGGTTGTTCTCTCATCAAAGGTAGGGAGAAAAGAAAAAAAAGCGTCTGGAGCAGTTCTGAGAGTGGTATCTGCAACTGTGGCTTGCCTGCCTGCTGCTCTCAGCCTGTAGCTGGCGGCGTTATTTATGCAGATCTCTGGGGTGAGCTAGCACTCACCTGGTCCCACAGGCTTTGTTTGCTCAGAGTTCTCCTGTGCGTGAGCCTCTGCTACAGGCTTTCCCTTTCCAAGCACTGGGAAAGGTGACACTGCCCCGCGTTGTCAGGCCTGCGTGTTTATTACAGTTCACGTGGGAAGTGGGTCTTCCCTCCTCTCACAAGCGTCCGCTCCTGGTTGCTGGGCGCGCCCGCTCCCGCCAGAGCCTCTCCGGCCGCCCGGCTCGTTTATTTACAGTCCCGGGAAGGATTCCCTTCCCCAATCTTCAGCGCTCAGGGCGCCCCACCTCTTTCCAGCGTGTCTTAACTGTTCTTATTGCTTAGTACTCAGTTTCTCTTTTTTTTCCCGGGTGGAGGTCAGTCTGTCCAGGGGCTATGCTGCTCTGGCCCAGGCTTGTCTGTGGGGGAACCGCGGTACGCGAAGCTCACCTGGTCCGCGTCTTCCCAAGCCGTATGGGCGCCGGCCACTGGCGGCCCGGGGCCTCCTCGGTTCTCCGTTTAACGTGAAGTGGAGATTCTCTGCGCCGGCTGGAGATGTGGAGGGAGTCAAAGTTATGCCTTTTCTCGGTGATTATGCCTGCAAAGTGTGTCTCCAGCGTCTCTCCAAGATTTCACTATAGGAGGGTCGCTTTCTGCTTCCTACCTCTAGCCGCCATCTTGGAATTTTCCTCCTTTCTGATTAATGGGTTCTCACTCTCTGTTGTGCAGATCCCTTGAAGGATCATTTTCTGTTAAGTAGGTTGGCTTGTCGTCCATATTGTTTTAGTTTCTGCTTTATTCAATGAGGAACGTTTATTGCTCATTCTATTTTTGAATGATTAGTTTTGCTGGGTAAAGTATCCTGGTTTGAGTTATTTTCATTGAGTGCCCAGAAGATCTCACCCCAAGCTCTTCTTGCTTTAGTGTTTCTGTGAGAAGATCTGTGATTTAGATAGGTTTACCTTTGTATTATTGTTTTTTCTCTCTTACAGCCTTCAATATTCTTCTTGGGTCTCTTGTATTTGTTGTTTTAATGATAATGGGCCATGGGTCGATCTATTTGTTTCTGGTCTGTTGGTGTTCTGGAGGCCTCTGGCATCTCTGTGGAATAGATTTCTCTAGATTTGGGGAAATTTTCTGTTTATTATTTTGTTTGATATATATGCACATTCCTTTTTGCTTGCCCCTCTTCTTCTTTCAATGCATGATTCTCAGGTTTTGGTTTTGATAGTCAGTGAGTTCTTGCATTTCTTTTCACAGGTCTTGAGTTGTTTCACTAATAGTTCTTCAGTTTTCCCTTTAATTACCATTTCATCTTCAGTTCTGAGATTCTGTCTTCTGTTTGTTCTATTCTGCTGGATTGGCCTTACATTTTGTTTTGCAATTCTATTTTGTTCTTTTTTCTCAGTTTTTCCATATCCGTAGTTGTTTCCTCTTTAATGCTGTCTATTTATGTTCTGAGTTCATTTATCTCTTTATTAATTGTGATCTTTGTTTCACTTTGGTGTTTATACAGTGCTTCTATGTTTCTTTTATTCTTCATGTGCTTTTCTAATTGTCTATTTTTGTTGTCTTGGAATTCTTGAGTGTCTACATTTGGTTGACCATATCCAGTATCATCTCTATAAAATTCTCATTGAGTACCTGTAGTATTTCTTCTTTTAGATTATTCTTGAGGGTTTCATTGGGTTCATTGGCATCGTTTATCTTCATTTTGTTGGAGTCTGGATCTAAGTATCCGTTTTCTTCATTTCTCTCTGGTTCCTGTACTAATTTTTTGCTGTGGGGAAACTGGTTTCCCTGTTTTTTCTGTCTTCCCATCATTGCCCTTGGTGTTGTTATTGTCCCTGTACTGTGTGCAATTAAGTATTTTCTAGCTTATAATAATAACAATGGTGATATTTAGAATGGAAGGGTGGGAGGAGATAGTAAGCAAAAAAGTTAAAGAAAAGGGGAAAAACAAACAAGTAGAAAAAAACAAAACAAGCAAGGAAAAGTTTTAAAGATATTAAACAGGGAGAGATAGTAGTGTACTAATCAACAGTAAGCGAACAGCTTAGAGAGACAGGATTGAAAATAAAAAATAAATAAATGAAAAAAAATCTCCAAGTTCAAATGCAATAAAGTTTCAGTCTTAATAATTTTGGTGTTAGTTCCTCAGCCTGCAATCCTGGAGATGGTGTCTCAGAAGTAGTTCTGTCATTGTCTCATTAAAGGGGAAAAAAAACAATAAAAAACAAAACAAAATAAAATCCGCAGTGTCCCAAGTTCAAATGCAATACAATTTCAGTAAGTTTTTTAGCATGCAGGTGTAGTTTGGTGGTTGTCTCATCAAAGAAGAGAGAGAAAAAAAAAGAGTCTGGAGGCAGCTCTGTGAATCGCTGTCTGAGGCTGTGGCTCACCTGCGTGCTGTTGTCAGCCTGCTGTTGCTGGAGGCTTTATTTATGCAGATCTCAGGAGTGAGCTTAACACTCACCTAGTCCCTCAGGCTCTGTTTACTTAGAGTTCTCCTGCATGTGACTGCCACTGCTAAAAGCTTTCCCCTTTCCAAGCACACTGGGGGAGGTGACACTGCACCTGCTTTCTCAGGTCGCGTGTTTATTTACAGTTCACATGGGAAGTGGGTCTTCCCCCCTCTCCAATGGATTTTTCCTCCCACTGCCACTTTTACAAGCTTTCCCGCTCCTGGTTTCTGGTGCCGCCGCTCCTGCCTTCTCCAAACGGCTTGTTGTGAGGGATTTCCCCTCCCCCTCTTTGGCACTCAGGGTGCCCTGCCCTCTTTGCTTTGTGTCTTTTTTGTTGTTATTGCTTATTATTCCGTGTTTTTTTTTTTTTTCTTTTTTCCCGGGGTGGGGATCGGCCTGTCCGGGGGGCTATGCTGATCTGGTCCAGGGTTGTCTGTAGGAATACCACATGCCACTTAGCTCACCTTGTGGTCCGCGTCTTCTCAAGCCATCTGGGTGATGCCGTCTGTTGGAGGTGCGGGAGCCCTCCTGGTTTCTCCATTTAACGTGAAGTGGAGATGCTATTTGCAGGCTGGAGGTGTGGAGGAGACAAAGTTTTGCCTCGGTGGTTTTTCCTGTAAGGTGCATCTCTCCAAGATTTTACTTTAGGAGGCTCACTTTCTGCTTCCTCCCTCTAGCTGCCATCTTGGAATCTCCCTGTCCTTTTATTGTTAATCTGTAAGTGTTTTTATATTTAAAGTGGGTTTCTTTAGGGACAGGGTCTCACTGTGCAGCCCATGCTGGCCTTGAACTCATGATTTTCCTGCCCCTCCCTTCCAAGTGCCGAGATTACAAGTGTGCACTACCAAACCCAGCTAAAGTAGGTTTCTTTCAGACAACATGTAGTTGGGTCTTGTTTTTTGATCCACTCTGAAAATCTCTTCCCTAGCATTCTATAGTCTAAGATTAGGTAATGAGACCATGCCTTTGGAGTGTTTTACCAGTGCTTTTCAACTTCCCAAACCTCCCTCCTTAGGTGTTAAGCAGCATAAGAGAGCTGGAGTTGGGTATTTCTCTGACCTCAGGTCAGTTAGACTCTAATAAAAACCCTGGAATCTTAGGCTCTAATTAGCTAGTTTCTTCTGAGGGCAGGCCTTATTAAGAACAGAATTCCCAGCCAAACACAGTGGCTTATGTCTGTAACCTCAGCTACTCAGGAGGCAGAGATCAGGAGGATTGCAATTCAAGGCCATCCCAGGCAAAAAGTTAGTGACACCCCCATCTCAATCAATGAGCTGGGCATGGTTGCCTGTTCCTATAGTCCTAGCTACGTGGGAGGCTGAAGGTAGGAAAATCACAGTGCAGGCCTGCCTAGGCAAAAAAAAAAAAATAAGTGAGACCCTGCCTGAAAAATAACTAAAGCAAAAAAGGGTGGGGATGTGGCTCAAGTGGTAGAGTGCCTGCATAACAATTTCAAGGCCCTGAGTTTAAGCTTCAAAACTGAAAAAACAAAAACAAAAACCAGAATTCTCTGGCATATTTCAAAATGGTTACTCTTTCGTGTCAGAAGCATGAAGCTTTTTATTCACTGTGAGAACCTAATTGAGTCCCTCATGGTAAAACTCACAAGAATGTTGGAAATACACCATCACAACTAAGTCCCCTTGTAGTTTCTGTCAGGCATGTCTGTACCTAACTTCCAGTAGCTACAGTTGAGGCATGCATACCTTGTCACTGGTTCCATGCAAGAATTTCTGCAGCTGGATTGTAATTTTCTGTACTCATCTTTCTCTCCAGTTTTTGGGGTAGCAGTTTGCCCTCAGACCTTCCTTCTCTGACAGATCCAAGAAGAGTTGTTGATTTTTCCATTTGTTTAGCTTGTTAACTTTTATTCTAATGGGTAGCAATTCTAGCAAGCCTTACATGCCAAAGTAGAACCTGGAGGCCTCACATTTTAACTGGGTCCTTCCACCTGCATGCCAAAATGGGAAGATATTTGTGTGTTTTATATATCGTCGTATTTCTAAATATGTATGATAACATCATACTAAGGGAAGTCTTTTGTACTTTGTTTTTTACATTTAATAATGCATCCTGTATATTGCATCAAATTGATGAAGCCATCCTCTTTTTTTTTTCTTGTTTGCATTTGTTAGGCAAATGCTCTACCACTGAGCTACTTAGCCTGCCACCACCACCCACTTGCTAAATTTTTATTTTTGAGAAAGGTCTCACTAAGTTACCCAAGCTGGCCTCAAACTTGTGATTCTTCTGCCTCAACCTCCTAAATATCTGGAATCACAGGTGTACACCACTATGCCAAGCTCATTTTTGTTTATACCATTTCTCTTTATATCTGTATAGATTGGCTGGTATGAGTATATCACAGTTTGTTCAACTGTTTTCCTGTCTATGGCCTTTAGACTGTTTCTAGTGTTTCACAATTTTAAATGGTGCTTTAATGAATGACCTTGTGCGTGTTTTTGTATGACATAGGCATCTTAAAGGTAGATTTCTAAAATTGAGATTATTGGGTCAAAAGCAAAATGCATATGAAGTTTTGTTAGGTATTATTAAATTCCTCTTCAGAATGGTTGTAGTGTTCTCACAATAACATTTTCATATGTTACCCATAAGAAAAGAGTTGTCATACCTTAAATTTTTGCCAATCTATTATGTTGTTTTAATTTGGACTTCTTTAATTATGACTGAAATTGGAACATTTTATACATAATTTTTAAAGGCCATTTGTCTTTATGGTGAATTCTTATTTATGTCTTTTGCCTATTACTGTGTTTTGGTCTTTGTCTTAAAATTTTAAGAGTTCGTGATAGTTTAGGATATTAGTCTGTGGTATATGTTATATATATTTTCTCCTAGTTTATCAGTTGTCTTTTGATTTTATTTACATACATTTCTCATGTAATTAAAAACTTGTCTCATGTGTTTTTTTGTTTATTTGTCTTTTTGCAGTGTAGGGGTTTGACCTCAGGTCACTTACTAGGCAAGGCACTCTAGCACTTGAGTCACACCCTCAGCCCTTTTTAATTTTTTGATTTTTTCTTTCTATTTTTGGGGAGCACTGGAGTTTGAACTTAGGGCCTCATATTTGCTAGGCAGACACTCTTACCACTTGAACCACTCTGCCAGCCCTTGGTTTATTTTTACTTGGTAGTACTGGAGTTGAACTCAGAGGTACGCTACCATTTCAGCCATGACCCCAGTGCTTTTTGCTTTAATTTTCAAGATAGGGTCTCAGGTTTTTTGTTTGGAGCTGGCCTAGGACTACAATCTTCCTACATCTACCTCATGCATAGCTGGGTTTGCAGGCCTGAGCTACCATACCCACCTTGTTTTTTGAGATGAATCTTGGAAACTTTTTGCCTCGCCTGGCCTCGAACCACAGTTCTCCCTATCTCTATCTCCTGAGTAGCTGGGATTATAGGCATGGATTAAAAAATGCTAGGCTAAAAATTTTTTTAAAGCAAATTTGTCAGTCTTTTGTTGTCTTTTGATTGAGTAATGGTAGAAGGTCCTTCCCTACACCAATTGAGAAACTTGCCCATGTTTTCTCTTATAGCTTATGTGGTTTCATTTTTCACATCTATATTTCTAGTCCATTTGGAATTTCTTATATATGACATTAAGTGTGAATCTAATTTTATCTTTTCCCACATGACCACCCACTTGTTCCAACACTATTTATTTAAAAAGTCTATATTGGCCTCAGTCATTTGAGAGCCTGCCTTTATCATCTGTACTCTCATCTATTTCTAGGGTTTTTCTATGTGTCAGTCAGAACCACAGTTTTAATTACAGAGGCCTGAGAGTATGTTTTCATGTCTGCTGGAGCTGGTAGTCATTGATTTTCTTTTGTAGTGATTTTTTTCTGGCCACTCTTATTTGTTTTTCCACTTAACTTCAGTATCACCTTGTCTCTTTCAAAAGTTGTTTGTTTTTTTCTTAAGTTGGTATTTTTAATGCCATGTATTAAACATATAAATTAGCTTAGGCAGAACTGACAGTTTTATGTTTAATCATTCTAAGAACACAATTTTCAAGCCACTTTTATGTAGATATATTTAATTTTTTTCTTTTTAGATATTTGAGCAGGTTTTTAAGAAATATTTCTTAAGTACCAAATTTTCTTTATTGCTGTTGTAAAAGAGATTTTTCTCTACCATTGTCTCCTTTAGTGGCTTATTATTTATTTGAAGGCTGATATTTGTATGTTAACTTTATGTTCTTTTACTGAATGATTTTTTACTTTTATAAAGGAGTCTGTAAGGTTTTTCAGATAAGTTATGTTTATCTTATTATATGCAATAGAAATAGTTTCACTATTAAATTGTTAACCATTTTTTGCCTCTAACTGGTTTTTCTTTTTTTGTTACACTGACCAATATCTTTATCACTGTGTTCAACACTAGGATAAATAGTGGTCATTCTTGCTTTGTTCTTGGTCTTATTAGCAGTATTCCTAGTGTTCCCCAATTACATAACATACTGCCTTTCAGACTATTTAGTACTATATATATATTCATGTTTATTTAGCATAAGTCTTAAAATACTTATTTCTTAATTTACTATTTCTTGAATTTTTTAAATATAATGAATGGTATTGAATTTTTTCAAAGGTTTTCTGAGGATCTCGGAGAAAGAAATTTCTATAGCTAAAGTCTGTTTTTCGGGGAGCAGGGGAATGTTTGCTTTTATAGAAATTAATGTATCTGTATTTAGTAATACAAGAAAAGAGTTTCAGTTTAAAGGCAAAAGGCCATTCTTTAATTAGGGTTGCCACATTTAGCAAACAAATCTGTCTGAAAGCCTAGTTGGATTGTTTTATGTATTTGAGATTCTGAAGTGCTAGTAGGAGAAACAATAGTCTTTCAGTGTGAAAGAAGTGCTGAGGCTCACAGAAGCTGATGGCTTTCTCAAAGTCATCTAGCAACTCAAGTGACTATTGGATCTGAGGTCAGCCTTGGACATTTAGTTCTATGTTGTGTTGTCTGCCACCAAATTTTAAATTAAAAAAAGTAATTTTTTTAGCCTGCCAAATGATGGATAAGTCTATTAAAAGTAATTACAGTAGTTGGGTGTGAGCAGTGTTGCTACTATCTTTTTAATTCATCTCTAAAGTTACATTACAAATAATACTCCACAGTGCTGACTGAATGTTAACAGTTACTTAACAATATTGCTTTGTCTGCCTATACTGATGAAGTCTTTGAAAGTTTATTTTCTTCCATTTAAAATTTTTAAATATGAAAATACTTTCAGAGTGAAATAATTTCTAGCTTAGAGTGAAATAATTTCTTTATGTGCATTCTCTTTTAGCTAGAAGCAAAAGAATATTCCATCTGGTAGATATGTGTGTGTATGTATGTGTGAATGTATGTGTGTAAACATCTTAAACCTCTGTGTGGAATATTTGTTGAGCATTTAGTAGGTATTCAGTTCTATTAACAGCCAACACCACTGGAAACATTCATCAGAGAGCTACTTTTGCTTTCAGCATAAAGGTTGAGTGCAGTCTCTGGAGGCAGCAGTCACACCTATGATCCACCTCATACACACAGTATGTCACTTAATCTCACTGTTCTTGGGTGTTATCCCCTGTGAAGTGGGAAGTTCTATTGATGCTCACTTTACAAGGTTGTTGCGGTTAAATTATAACATAGGTCATGTGCATACAGCAGTGCCCAGCTTGTATTCATAAAAGGTAACACATATAGTGCTTATTGTTATTATTCAGATTCACGTATTTCATAGTATCATAAACAAAAGCAGCTTGAGATAGCAGAATGTGAGACATTTGAAAAAAGATTTTCATCTTATCAGTATCCATTAGGTTTTCTATTAAGTAGATAATGCTTACTTCCTGACTAATATAACCCAAATTTGTGCAGTGTATAAAAAAATTAGAATTGTTACGCTAAAGTATAGGATCTGCCTTTATATTTTTGTTAGGGCCAGAAAGTTACTAAAACATACTCTTAAAAAGTAAAAGGATTAGATTTCATCTACTTTTCACCATGATTTTTTCCTATGATTCTGTAAATTTTAACTGAGCCTCATATTCAATTTAGAAGTGTGTTTAATTTATAAGTACATTTAGTTATTTAATGAAATTGGTGTTTTGGAGATGCTATTGAATTTCTCAACAGTTCATTTTATCGTCTTTCCCCTAAGGTATTCCCATCTGTCAGCAGCATTTAATTTGGAATAACATGGAACTTGAAGATGATTATTGCTTGAATGATTACAAGTGAGTGCAGTTGCATATTAGCTGCTCTATACCATTCAGTATTATGACTCCATATACCGGTATTTTTCTTCTGAATCCCTGGGTCATATCTCTCCTGAATAACTCTGATTCTAGATTTCATTATGAGTTCTCAACTGTAGATGTGTTTGCTTGGTAACCCATCTTTGTCCTCTGATACTTGTACTTTACCTTTTAAATTTTCATGTTTAACTGTCCCGTCTTTTGCATCTTCCTGTTTACATCTTGTCTTCATTGCTTCTTTCTTTGAATATTGGCCTATTCCCATGTATCCATCTTCCTTTTATTTCTGTTTTCACAAGAGTTTGGGGCCTGAGAGAATTGCTTTCCCCCAAGAGTTTTCTCATTAAGCATTACCAAGTGACAACATGTACACCAGTGATTACCAATACACTTCTTGACTTTCTCTGTCTTCTCACACAATTTATTACTCTTTTCCTAAGAAGGGTAGGAGGTGGCGTGGAATAGTACTGGGATTTGGGAGACTTGGTATATTTGCTGTTTTTCTGTTTGAATAGATCTGCTATTTCTAAAACACTGGGTGTTGGGCAAGCCTCTTTTCTTCCCTGGGCTTCCTTTTCATTATGCATTAAACCACAGGATCACAGAGGTCCTGTAACAGTACTTTTTTTCTGGGATTTCACATAATATTTAAGGCTTGTGAGAGCTTTTAAAATTTCATTATTTAAGTGAATACATTAGCATCTTACATTAACTCATATTGCTGTATTCTTTACATTTTAAAGAGTAGGTACTATGCCTAATAAACCAGCACTAATTAGTGTTTCATTTAACACTGAATGTATTTGATGATTAGAGTTTATTTTTGTGTTAATTATTCACAGCATTTCAGAAGGTTGTACATTGAAGCTGGTTTTGGCTATGCGTGGTGGACCTATAAATACAAGAAAAGGTAAGGTATATTATTAAAGCTATTTAATAATCATATTATTCGAGCAATTTGACAATAGCATTCTTCAAGTCAGTTAATGTTTTTATAGCCTCCAGTTTGTTAAGCTGCCTTTCTATAATTAGGTCATAAAAAGGCTGGAACTCTAAAATATATTTCAGATTCAGTCCAAGTAGAAATAAAAAATAAGCCTTATCAGTATATGGAAGGAAAAATGGAATGGCATAGTGTAAATACTATGTTATTATTGTGTTCAGGTTCATATCAGTCTTGAAGCTTTTTAATCTCTTGAGTCTTCAATTTCTATAATAATGTTGCTATGGAAAATTTCCAAATTGCCTGTTTACCTGATTGATGCACTGGATTTCATGGATATTTTCATGATCCTGTTGAATCTTCTCAGAATGTGGGTGGGCTCTGGAGTCCATTCATTCATTATTCATTCAACAGAATGCAGAGTGAGCATCTACTGGATGTTGAGTGCCATGTCCCAAATACAATAAACAGGGAGACAAAGTCTTGGCTTCATGACCTCCAGTATGCCTCTAATAAATGTGCAAAGGACTGATGTAACTTCAAATGGTTGTAGTGCTATTCAGGAAATAGACCGGATAATGTGATAAGGTCTGTGGAAGTAGGATAGTAGGAGGGGCCTTGGAAAAGATGGCATGGGTGGAGATTTGATTAACAAGAAGGTTCCAAATACAGGAAGAGCTGAGAGTGTTTTCATCGGCCTCTAATTCAGGTGTGTCACATGAATCTCCACCAAGCAGAGGCAACTACTCAGAGCATCCCTGCTCTTTGGAGCTCATTTTGGGGAAACCCTTCAGATTTGCTTGATACTTCACAAACCAGATAACCAAAGGTTATAACTATGGATTCCACTGTTTGTTTGCTTCCTCATGTCAAATAATATCCCTATGTTTAATAATTTTGGTTTAAAAGTAGGATTATTGCCGTATTTTTACGTAACTAAGAGCTGTTGAACTATTTTTCATATATTCAAGAAAATGAAGGTAATGTTAGAGCTGATTAACCAGCACTCCTGACATCAAGGACTTTCTGATCATTAGAATGAAATTGTTTTATCTGATAATTGGTAATGTGCATAGTAATGACTCTAAGGGTATTGTAAGAACCCTAAGTGTCTGCTAAGCCATCATTTAAGATCAAATTACATAGTGTTTAAAGGCATGTGATTTAACGCATTCTGTTGTGTTAAATTTTTTAAAGCTGGCTATTTATTTATGTTTTATAACGTCTTTAAACCAGAGTGTTTAATTAGGGCACATCTACTTTTTCTTACTAGGTCTAAAATAATTTGATCTGTTTATGAGGATGAGTGTCAACTGTCTGTAGTTACTGAGTTCTGTATGTGTGTGTGTATGTGTATATTGTATATGTATATGAACATATATGTATGTATATATTTTATGTACATATATATTTAAATGAAAATGAGAGTTGTCACTACCTTTTGGTAGTTGAAGCTTTGAAATAAAAGCTTCTTCATAATATTTTTTCCTACAACTTTCTGTGCCATGTTTGTTAATTGAAAAATCAGCAACTAGAACTTACCTTTTCATTTATTTAAAATTAAGTTTTTTATAATTTTGGCTTTATCGAATCAACATTTTTAAAATTAAAAGTTTGATGTTGCTCACCACGTCATTAAAAACTTTGTGAAAAAGAAAAACTGGACCCAGATTTAGGGATCTCCATACTATATTTGAGAAAACAAGTTTTTAAAGCTAATTTAGATGTATTATTTCAAACTTATCACTTAGAAAGTACCTTTTTCATGTGAGCTCTAGTAGTACTTTGCTTTTAAAATCATTTTTGCAATAGCCATTGTCAAAACAGCATGGGATGCTGGGCATGGTGGAGCATGTGATGGTCCAGCACTTGGGATGCTGGGGCATCTGAGTTAAAGCCCAGCCTGGACTACAGAGTGAGACCTTGTTTCAAAAAAAAGAAAAACAGTCAAACAAGCAAGCAACATAGGCACAAACACTTTCCTTTCTAAAATTAAATCATATCATAAACTCTTTATGCATTGTTTTTAGCTGATAAAATCTAAATGACTTTTCATGCACACAAAAAGATGTGCACACACAGGCAACCTCTGCACCAACCTGAGGAAGGCACCCTATACTGAGTTAAGAAAGGCTTTCATGTGGCTGTAGTACTGGCAGTAGCAATGCCTAAAACAATTGGTGCCATAATTTTGACTTCCTAGTAATGTAATGTGGAACGTGGAACATAAACTTTTAACAGGGGCTCTGAGTATATGAGGTGTACCTGTAATCCCAGCACTTGGGAGTCTGAGGCAGAATGATTTAGAGTTCAAGGCCAGCCTGGGCTATATAGGTGTCTCAAAGTAATTTTTCATTACTTGAAAAATGTCTTCCAGTATTTATACATTTTATGCCTGTGAAAGAGCAATCAAAACAAATAATTATTTTTGTAAACTAAACAATCTTAATTTCTGTGATTTTTGTTTTAGTAGTAGTAGCATTAATTTTAGAATATGAACACCTGATGTTTTTACCATGTTCCTTTTAGAGTTTAGTATTTTTCTGTTGGTGCTACTTCTTTTTAAGTCAGTAGAGCACTCTGATTCTGTTAACAAGTAGATGAAAGTTATGCAGCTGGGAAAAATATTTCTATAGCATGACATGAGAATGTCTTTGGGAGAGAACTTTTTTCTCCAAACTGTTTACTTAGATTTCAAAGTCAGGTTCAGAGCTTCTGGAACATTTATCCTATAGCCAATAATCTTTTGAAGCACATCCCCCACCACCTTGGTAAAGTCAGTGGCTGCACCAGGATATAATGGTGGCTGCAACACCTTTGTTGTCCAAGGACAAAACCAGACCACTGGAGCCTGTCAGTTGTGGGGGTTTCAGAGTTGCACCAGTTAGCCTGTGTACCTCTGTGTGCTCTGACTGTGCACATGGACACCTACCAGAACAACTGGGTCTGGGAAGGAGTGTTTCCAGAAAACAGCATACAGAAACATTGCAGTTTTAGTATGCTAAGTGGCCTCCTCATGTTCTGAGCTACAGTGTACTTTTGACTACCTAACTTCACAAGAAAGAACAACTCTTAAGAAGAATCAGCTGTTATATAATCTTGCCTTTTTTTCCCCACCCTGGGAATCAAGTCCAGGGCCTTGGGCATGCTAGACAAAATGCTGTACCATTGAACTGTACGCCGCCAGCCCTGCCGCCTTGCTTCTCATTTCTTAATATGTCTCCTAACTGTGTGTGTTTTGACCTAAAGTAAGTAGTATTTATGCTTTTTTGTTTTTTATTTTTTCTCTTTTTATGCTGTTTTAAATTATTGATTGATGGAGTCAGTAATTGAGAATAGAGGAAGCAGAATATGTTAAGTGAAAATGACCACAGATAATAACCAGCAAACATATAGACTCTAATGGCATAGGGAAAAAAAGCCCTGTATTTGGAACAGCAATATAATGATGCAATTTTTCTTTCACTTGAATACAATTTAGAGAATGCTGTGTTACTATAAAAACTACAAAAAGAATAGAAAGGAGGATATCGTGTATTTATTATATGTTCAGGGTGGTTGTTCAATTATAGTGCATTATATCCTGTTACTGTACCAAGATGCACAAACATTGATGTGAATTGAAATCTTATTTATCAATTTTTCCATTTGTAGTTCCTATGGAAGATCCACTTAGGCAGATGGCTGAGTTCATGGATTCCAGTCGAGATGAGGTCTGGGAGAAGACTTGCAACAAACAAGTTACATTTTTGGTTTATCGAGAAGGAGATCAGTTGAATTTCTTTCGTGTAGTAGATAGGGGAGATGGCACTTTAA